TTAGAGTTCTGCTCAAGTTGAATTCAGGGTAATAAGAATGATAGAGGTTTAATTTGTCCCACCCCAACAGAAGTGCAAGGGAGAAGTCAATAAAAAAAAAAGATTTACTACATAACGCATTTGCAGCGATATTCTATGCTGCTCTTATTGGAGATGAGCCCTGATTCATGTAGATACTCAGCGCTATCGTTACACTGTTCTTTATGTGGGTCTTATTGGAAGCTCTGTACTATATTACTTACTGTATGATAATTAACTTACGTAAGGGCTCGGTCATAACAGCATTAACAATTGCAAAATGTTTTGCAAAATCACTTCATTTTATTGATATCTGTGTGATCAGAGGATTTGTTTGTAGAGTGCTTTGCATGGATGTGAATTTGCAGTGTTGGCCAGTTCTAACCCATCAGAACAGTGCTGAACTTTAAAGTACATGTACGATATGCATGCATGTACAGTCTATCTGTTACAACCAGTTTCTAACTTGGGTAGATCTTGAATATGTGTCTCTTATTTCTCCGCAGCACTCAGGTCGGTTTTATGAAGAGCTTCCAAACACGGCAGACTATGTGAGCTACAGACTGGCCTGCAACAAGCAGGACTACCCAGATCCCTACTCCCCTCCCATCAAGCCTCAGCTCTCATTTCTGCCCCAACACCCCTACCACTCCTCACTACCAACCACTGCAACCAGCAGCGGCACCAACACGCCAAAAAACACCTTGTCTCCTCCTTTACACACCACTGCCATCTTTAAATACCCCTCGGTACCAGGTCTATCTTCTCCTCCCCCGGGAGTGGCGGCGTACACTTTTCCCAAAGAGCAGTACGTCTGAACCAACACTTTTGACATAAACTCAAACATCCCAAGCGATTTCAGATGAAACGACCAAATAAAAACTGTTTCCTAAGAGGAGGCTGGGAACATGAAGTTAACCCTGGACTATCAGGCGGCGTTTCTACGCTGTCCGCATCATTGCGGACGGCTCTGGAGGTCAAAGGACATATTCCGCTTTTGTTGTTGAACTTGGAATGAAGTCCAATTTTTTTTTAAACATTTTCTCATTTGGCTGGTCTTTTTGTGTGTTATCTGTTCTTTGAAAAGGGAACATTGTGAACCATGTTTCATATGTTTAGGATAGATGGAGGTCAAGTTTAATATTATTTGACTGTCATTGGAAAAAAGGATATTGCATGGATGTATTACAATTGATTGGAAAATATTCCAAACTAAATGGATAAGATTACCTCTTGATGTCTGATGTGGTTGAGCCTTTATTTAATCCTCTATTGTATCATTTTGTAAGAAAAAAACAAACAAAAAACAGTATAATTTCCTACTTTCTCTCGAATACCAATTCTTTATCCTGCATCGTACACACTGAAAAACCTTTTTCCTGAGGTACAGCAGAACTCACCTTTTGGTTTTACCTCCTGTTAATACTTTTGCTGTGCTTGTATTTTTGTATCGTTTATGTTTTTCTGGTAAAGGACACAAATCAAAAAACATTTTTATTTACTAAAGACATTTTGTTGGAATTGATGTTTTTATTTGTGGTATTTGTGGATTTTAGTATTCATTGACACTGGTTGTTGGATGAGTCTTGAATTTTTAGCATTTCAATAAACATGATCAAGTAAAGTGATTTAAAGCTACGAAACAATACAACCCTTCTTCTCTTTCTTTACTCTAAAAGAGTATTTCTTTTCTTAGGGTCCGCATTAAGATGTTCTCTATGAAACATTCATTCACAATTAAAACTGTCTACTGTACATTTCTTTCTCAGAAATGTTTTAGAGTAATTCTGTTGGTCATTTCATCAGAGGCATTTCTACTCTGGTGTGTTTGTACACGAGCAGCTGGATGGCCATTTTGCTCCAGACTGAAATATCTCAACAATATCTCTATTTGATGGGTTTCCATGGACTGTTTTAATTTATCTTGTGCCAATTAGCAAATGTTAGCATGCTTATGCACATTTAACCAAAGTGGTGAATATGTTTAACATTATAGGCCTACCTGCTAAATGTTAGCATCATAACTGCAAGCATGTCAGCATGCTAACGTTAGCAGTTAAGAGCTGCTAGTATGACTGGAGACTCTCAGCATTGTTGCAGTAATTATTCAGGATTATAGTTATGATTTTTTTTGCAAGCAAAAAACTGTAATTCTATTAAATATAATCTGCTACTCCCTGACCTACTCATTGGGTCACATCACACAGTTCAACTGCTGTTTCATGGATTTTAATAACTATCACTCTACGCTGCCTGAAGCGATGCAGCCTGGATCATCCTGTTTAGCCTACTTCTCATTTGACTTCTAATGGTTACAGCTTATATGAAGAGCAAACAAACTGATAAGACAGAAACTGTTGCAGTTTACTTTTTAATACACATTTGGTAATGGAAGTTACACAGATAAAAGGCATAATGGAAGGTTTTTTATGTTTGGCTACTGTTTCCCAAAGGATAAAAGTCAGTATGGAAGCTTCAGAGAACTTAAAAAAATCAATATTTTGAAATCAACAATGGATCACATGACCTTTGTGAGAGAGTTCACTCATAGTTGACCGAAAGAGAAACACCACCTGACTGCAGTTACCCTCAGATTTATGAAGCGTTTCAGATTCTTTCAGCTCATTGTTTAGCTTTTAAGGCCCATGCAGTTACTGTTTGGTTCAGTCTCACAGCAAAACTGCTCTAAAATCCAAATATACACTACCTGCTCAGCACCAAACAGACATAGTTAATGACTCGCTGTTAACATAGAGGGGCATTTAGCAGTAAGAGCCAGATATTTCATTCCCTCAGGAGTTGGTGGAGACTAAAACAAAGCAGAACGAATATTAGATTTGAAGTTGCAATATACAGACTTCATTCTCTGCTCAGATAGACATAACTCCTCTATATCTTAGCAAATAGTGGTTTGCTGCTATAATAATACTATTATCGTATAGAGTACCTTTAACTGCATCAGGTGGAAACAAACAGGACTCCAAATACATGCTAAAGTTGCTCTGTAACTGCTGGGTATAGCATACATAATGATTGCAAGTTTGCCATATCGACTTTATAAGGAGATAATATGTCAGTGTTGTTTACAGCTTATGTCTGTTGCCCCCAAGTTGTCAAACTAATCAGTTACTGCAGGTTTCAAATAAAGTCCTCAAGCATTGTCATTTTCACACCCTACCAGCTTAAAGGAAGACAAAGCATATTTTTTTGGTGTGTTACAAAACTGGGATCATTTATAGTTTCTGTCAGAGTCCCAGGCTGCCCTTTGTGTCTAATGCTGCATTTGTGTGCTGATGAAATCTCACACAATGAATCCCCAACTCCCAGAGCAAACAGTTTGGTACATATCCACTGTGTCCAGCTCCCATGGGGCGCTCACAGACTTTCCAGCCTTGATGTTTAGCTCTAGCTTCAGCTGCCAGCTCAGTATGCCCGAGCTTCCCTTTTCTCTTTAGCAGCATCTTTCCATGGCACAGTGAGCTTCATATTCAAACACTTGGGGAGTGTTGGATCATTACCAGAGGGATGAGGCCGCCTCATGGTGGGCAAGAAAGTTACTGGTTATGTCTTTCTTTCACAAACAGCCTGCCTTTTTTTGCAAGAAACCAACTGATTTACATTAGCGCCGCTCTTCAACAAACAGTATATAAATGCATATCTGTTAACTGTTGACATTGTACTTGATATATATAGTATTTTAGAATACAAAGAGAAGGAAAACAAACATGAATATGACGTTGCTATTATGGTTTTAATTTGAATTATATCCGGATAAAAGGGATTTACTTCTGCACTCCAGTATGATAAACATCTGAAGAGAAATACCTTTGACTGCATCTTTCTATTCCAACATCTGCTCCATTTCAGTCTCTGCCAAGTGAAGAAAATTGATCTCTGTCCTTCATTCATTCATGACACAGGTCTCACATTACATACTCATGGCTCCACTTAACAGTTCCACCTCCTCTTTTTTCCTCTTTTATAAACACGTCAAACACAGAATAAGAATAATTGTTCCTGATTGTGTGTATGTGCAGGATCATCATCTTATTAACAACGACTTTCCATCTTTAAATGTTGGTCTGCAGAGTGTTGTGGTCATAGCATGTTGCTGTGAGGAAAAACAGACCATTGCTGAGAGATGCCTAAATCTTTTCTCAATCTATTTTAATCCTAATCCCATCAATAGCGTTTACTCTGCTCTCTGGTCCTCACGTGACCTCTTAAATTAAAATCTGGAGCCTTTCATTTTACAACTTGCTCAAGATGACATGAGACAGAAGGAAATATAATCTTTTTTTTGTTTGTGCAACCTTTAAAATGTTGTCCTTACAGAAACAAAGGGCAAAAGAAAATGTTAGACGATATAAACCTCTTTTTAATCCCTTTTTTGTGTGCATTCACTGTAATGCTGGCTATAAACATGACTATTTATATCTGCATGAAGCATTCATCAGTATCCCCACTTTTGTAACACAACACCACAGTTTGAACAGTTGAAGATGAACAAATTTGCACACCATAATTATGAATAAATACGTATTTAGGTGCAGATAAACATGAAAGGCCTTTGTGGATGAATGGTCATGTGCAGGTGTGTGCATAAGTGCATGTGTGTGTGTGTGTAAGGCTAACCTGTCCACCCATGCGTCTATAATAGATGAGCTCAGTATCACCATGTTATTCTAACCCTGCAGGAGAAAGAAAGAAGGATAGAGGGATAGAGAGAAAGGAAAAAAACATGAATAATTGAGCCCAAATCAGTTTAGTGAGCCTCCGTCCCTTCCTACTCTCAGTCTAATGAAGTCAGTGCATGCAACTGGGTTCCCCAAGAAACTTCTGTATCGGAGAGAGGAGAAGATGCGACCCCGGGCCTCTGAGGGAAGCTAATAAAAGGCAGTTTTTGTGATCTCAAAAGCTTTGCCTTTCCTCATTTTTTTTTTTAGTAAAGAGGTTGTTGGACTCAGGATCATCATGATACCATGGTGGCCCAACTGCTAGGGCTGGCCTTTCTGTTTCTAGCTACCAGCCTGCTCACCTCTACGACACTGGGTAAGGATTGTCTTTAGATTCATACAGTTGCAGTTAAAAATTGGTTTTGCATATAATGTCACTTAAATGATGATTATATACAAATGAAGAGAGCTGCTGGGCAAAACATCTTTATCATTTATCGACTTTCTGTAGAATCTGTTTTAATTCTGTTGTTCAAATCTAAGATTTGAAGTACAGCATGACATACTTGATATTTGAAGTTGACATCAATATTTGAGACTGTAGTTTTATAACAATATATATCAACAATTTTCTTTTTTATAAATGCAAATAAAACGTAAACAAAATGGTTTGATAAGGATCACTTAGATTTGTGACCATGATATTTACGGTTTAAACCCATACATATAGTGACAATAATGTTTTGAAATTTAATATATATTTGGCATTTCTGTACTGCAAGTTCACTGATACCGATATATGTCTGCCATTAGCTAATATTAATGGATACATCAGCCTGGCAAATTCATCAGTCAGGCTATAATTCTAAGATAATTATAAATAAAACCAATTTTTATTTTTATTTTTACCCGTGTAAAGAGTTTTGTGTGGAACAAAGTTTGCTACACTGAAAGTTATTTTGGAGGTAACAGATAAAGACAATAGCTACAGAAGCAAAAGATGGTTTATAAATTAAATGGAAAAATGTAATTTGACTTATCTGGTTATCTGTTTTGTAATCCCTTATTAAACTATTACAGCGTGCCTGAAACTTACAGTGTAATCAATCCTGTAACTGAACACTAGCAGGGCACTCGACACCACCATCTCCTTTTCCTTCACACACACACTCCCTTGCTTCTCTGTGTATCCTCTCCCTTTTCCAAGGGGTGAAGGTCAATCCCAACTGGGAGGTTGTGTACCAGGACACCAGTGTGTATGGGGTGGTGGGCAAAGCGGTGATCCTGGAGTGTGGCACCACCTTGCCAGACATGTACATATGGAGCTTCACCAAACCCGGAACTGATGCTATAAAGGCTGTGGTGTATAATTTGGGGAAAGGACAGAGGATCCAGCAGCTGGCCGAGACGCTCGGACAGCTCACGGTCATCTCAAACAGTGCAGCTGTGAGCATCGAGAAACTGCCTGTGGCTGCACAGGGCCTGTTCACCTGTCAGGCTTTCTATGACATAGAACAGGAGCCCAAGGTCTTCTACTACTACGTGTACCTCACTGTCCGAGGTAAGACTTCTGAAACACTTACCTTTAGGCAGGGGCGTAACTAGGAGGAGGGGGGGTTCTTAGACAGTAAAGATTCCTACATCTGTGACTTTGTCTTGAATGCAGTTCCCGTCAGTAAGCCTTACCTCCTGATGAGTGATGTATCTCCAGTGGAGGGATCTACAATGTTGATGCGCTGCAATCTGGAAAATGGGACTGGACCGATCCAGTATGTGTGGCAGCATGAGACGCGCACCGGCAACATTTCAGCCTTTGCACAGGGCAACACCAGTGTTATCAACGTGACCAACATCAACCGCAACCAGACCGGCTGGTACCGCTGTGTGGCCAGCAACGCCGTCAACAGCGAGAGCTCCAACCGGTTATGGCTGGACACCATCTGTGAGTATTTTCGGGGTAGAATATGGGTTTTGTCAAATTTAAAATCCCTCAAATCCCGATTAAAACCATGACAGCTGTTTCTTTCTTTCTTTTCTTTGGCATTTGATGTGAGTAATCAATAAATTGCGAGGACACGCATCTTCAGTAGGCTATGTGTCACACACAGGAAATGTCACCATGTAACATGTGTTGAATGATAACTTTGACAAATCATTACTCACACTGTTTCATGTTTTAGTCATAGGTCAGCTTTTGTCTGCTTCAAACATCCATTTATTCTCATTTTCTTTCTCTTCGGTTCTCTTGGCATTTGAAAGACGTATTGTTTCTGCTTTGGCTTGTAATTCTAAAACTGCTTTTAACTGTCTATGTTAATACTTGAACTCCAGTGGTCTGAATTTGAGGCACAGAAAGAGGGCCATAGCTACTATTGAGGAGGATGTCATGACCTCAGTATTTTTTGTGTTAAAATTTTTTGGAGAGGGATTTAATTGATAATCGGGGTGTGCTAATGATATCGAGGACCTACTGACAAGAAGCTTGAGTGTTTTTGTAGGTTTGACTTCCTGAACTATCTGAGTTGTGACAGACTATATTGAAGATGTGCGAATACTTTCAATAGTTGCAGCGCAGAATCAAAGAAGATGTCTCCTGTCCGCCGTGTAGGTAACATGTCCGCCTCATGTCCTTTTTCCTCAGTTGGCCCAGACATCCCTCAGATAGATGTGACTCCGTACAGCATAACAGAGCGGGGATATTCAGCCCTGGAGAGAGAGACTGTTTCTTTACTGTGTCAAGCCCAGTCCAACCCGGCCAGTCAGTACGTCTGGTTCTACAACAACTCCCAGGTCTACACCGGGCCGCAGTTAACCATCACCAAGATCCTCCGCATGCACACTGGCGACTACGCCTGCTTGGCGCAGAACACCTACCTCAACACCCGCTCCAAAAAAACCATCAGCCTGACTGTCTACTGTGAGTGTGACCTCTGACCTCTGACCTCTGACCGTGCCATAAGTCCTCCCGCTCCTCTGTGAACCTCTCCACTCAGTCCTAGCTTGTGTTCTTCTGTCTTGGTGCTGCAAATGGTAACGAGTGTAAAAGAGACGACATGATCATTCAGATTTGACATTTATAGCACAAGACTAAGAAAACACGAATCCAGGGTCTGAACCGCCTTTGATCTTTATCTTCATTAACACTGAATCTCCTACTCAAACACAACTCCCTGATCATTTCTCTTTTAACTAAACCTCTCCTGTTTTCAGTGTTGTGCAAAAACTACCTTTCCTTCCTCTGTTTTAATCATCCATACTCCATTTATTGCATTATCTCTCATACTTCAACCTCCAGACCCAAATGCAAATGAACATGCATATACACATTCAGTTACACACCAACACACACACACACAGCAGAGTGTGGAAGTGCTGCAGATCTATTCTCCTGTTCGGGCCGTCTGGGAAGTTGATGGGACTCTCTGGCAGGTACCACGCTGTGTTGTCACAGCCATGACAAGTGTTGGCTAGAGGACCGATGCTTGTCATTCTGCTCTCCTGTTATCTTTTGCATTTCTGCTAGATAATCAGTTGATGTGTCTTACCTACGCATCGCCCAAGAGAGATAGAATGCATTTCCTTTTTATACACATCTTTCACATTAGAGAAAACAGGCTTTGCAGTGCTGACTTGACATTCATCTGTGTCACAAGAGAAGGTTGTATGTAAAAAGATATCTAATAAAAAGCATGTTTTCTACTGTAGCTCCATGGGCACTTTCTCTGGTCCCGATGGCCTTGCGTAAAACCCCTTTCTGCACATCACTGCCTCGTTATGCTGTATCTTATCCCCGTAGACCCGCCCGATGGCTCCCCATCCTGTTCTGTGGAGCCGGCTCTGAATCACACCTCTCTGAGATTGCTCTGCTCCTGGCCCGGTGGATTACCCTCCCCCTCCCTCCACTGGACCGGACCCTTGACCCAAGTGGGACAAGACGGGGCTGACACAGTGCAGCAAACAAATCCACTGACCAACACCGCCATCTTGCTGCCGCCTGATGACCTGACTGCCAACAGCAGCTCGTTTACATGCATGGGCTCCCACCTGGCGCTCAAACAATCGACAGAGTGCAGCACACGCACATGTAAGAAGTGGAACACAGGAAGTTTTCTATGCTCATTGTCCACATCTCACTTAAACCTCTTCCCCTCCACCAGATGTTCCCCCTGCAGAGCCGGTGTGTTTTGCCTATGTGACTAACAATAAACAGTATCTGATGCTGTCCTGCTCCTGGGATGGGGGGGCCCCGAAAGCCTTGGTGTGGTGGGAGGGCCCGGGTGGCCAGGGTAAAGGCGGGGAAGAAAACTCCAACATCCTAATCCTTCGCTACGGCACTGCCCGCAACGGGAAACCCTACACCTGCAATGCTAAGCATCCACTTCTGGTCCAAACCAAAACCTGCAGGCTCACACTGGGTCAGTGCACATTATCAGACACACATTAGAGGAAGATAGCAGATATCATTTTTTAAGATTTGTTAATTAATTCATGTATACATTGTCACCTGTAGAGGCTCCTGTATTGCTGACGCAGCGCAGAGTTGTGTCTGTATACGAGGGGAGCGATGTTCAGCTCACCTGCAACCTGAGAGCCAACTACCTTCCCGTCAGTGAAATAACCTGGTTTAACAATCAGGGTGTGGGCGTCCGAGACACCTCGAAGTACGCACTGCTGCAAACATCTGCATGGGCCAATCTGACTGTGAGAGACACGGATGAGACTCAAGACAGCGGCGAGTACAAGTGCTACACTTCCAACGCAGTGGGAGTAACTGAAATCAATGTCACTTTAGTGGTTAAGAGTAAGTTGTTTTTTTTCCTTATTTTTAAAGGAATAGTTTGACATTTTGTGAAAGATAGTTGCCTTCTTGCTGAGAGTTAGACGAGAAGATTGATACCACACTCATGTATGTTCAGGAAATATGAAGCTACAGCCAGCAGACAGTTAGCTTAGCTTAGCATAAACACAGTAAACAATAGAAAACAGCGAGCCCTGCGTACAAAACCAAACTCTAAACATCAAGTTGTTGTTATACAGGGGTATACGTAACAGACTAATTTATAGGTTGTGTTTTGTCTCTTTATCAGGGCACCCCATGCCACCCAATGCGACCCTGGTCAGCTTGATGTACAACAGTCGACAGCGTAACGAGGTGGAGCTGGAGTGGCAGGTAGAGAACGAAGAAGGAGGAGGTTGGACAGGTTTCATCCTGCAGCACGTTTGGGTGTCAGAGCGACCAGGAAGGAGAGGCAGCAACAATGATTCAAAGGAGGCCGCTGAGGAGAGGATCGGTCCACCAGTCTGGGACTCCAACATCATCCAGGACCCAGAAGCCAGGAGTCACACAGTAGGGAAACTGACACCGACCGTTACGTACCAGTTCCGCATCACACCTGTCAACCACCGCACCATCGGACATCCTTCTACAGCAAAGACTCCAGGTATAGCGAGTGAATGTAGTGAGGAAAGTGTGATCAGATATGGGACTTTTGGTAGAAAACTTAGGGCTGATTTACAAACAAATGATTAAAAAAAACGGGGCAAAGGCAGGAGAAGCAAATAATAATGTGACATTTTAAAAAGGTGACAGGTGAGTTAGGTGATTATTCAAACATAGTTGATGCTGATGTCTTGTTGTGACGGCTGTTACGATGACTGTCTAACATTTTTGTTTCTCTTTTGTTGTTGGTATCCACTTAGGTGAAACACTCAGACACAAACAACAACACATACATTTACACACACCTCACAGCTTCACACCTTTCACTGGCTTTCTGTTTACCTCCTTCCATGCCTTGCTCCTCACCTTTGCTTTAACTGACCCTGTGTGCTTCTTCTTGTAAGGTCTTTGTGTTAATTGTATCATGTAAAGCAGGATTTTACTGCTTTAACCGAGCCAGGTGATTGTTTAGGGTGTAGAAAGGCTTGTAGGTCAGGTGTCAGGGAGGGATAGGCCAGTGGTTTTCAACCCCTGTACTGTCAGTGCTTCAGTTAATCCACAACTACACTCAGTAATTATATTTTTCCAACCTAACACTTTCAGTTAATTTCACTGTACAAGAACTAAGCTGACATGGGTTGAGAACCGCTACAGGGAGCTGAAAGATGAAAAAACAATGTGAGACACGTATCAAGTGCCACAACTGTCTGTGTTTTCTCAGAGGTGTACTATTTTGCAATGTGTAACTGTGATGTGTTGCAGCGGAACCACGCTACAACGTGTACCCTGCTGTGATTGGAGCAGCTATAGGCGGGATGCTCATTGCAGCCTTCCTCACAGCGCTGCTGCTCGTGTACATAATCCGCAACCGCAACAACAATCCTCGTGAGTCCCATACACAGTCCTAATGACTTCAATATTAAAGCCATTGTCCCATTAAGTTGCATTAATGTTGTGTTTCTTCTCCCAGAACTACATGACATGCTGTTTGGTTTGTGAGTATCTGTTTACTGTCTATATATAATAAAAAAGTGCAGTTTGTTATCATGTCGGCAGACAGTTCTTTGTACAGACATGCCGTTAAAACTTTTTCTTCTTCTGGTGTGTCCAGGCAGCACAGCCAGTCGAGGGAAAACATCAACTTTCCAGAGGATGAAGTGGTGGGCGGGTTGGAGGGAGGAATAGAGGAGATCAGTGGAAGTAAGATGAACCCACGTCACACACATATTCATGCACACCTAAAGATGGGCTACCACGCTGCTTTTTGGTGTATTTAAACTTAGTCTTGTTTTGTAAAACTTAAAGTTTATCTGAAATTAAACGGCATTTTTATGTTTTTTGACTTCATGAAGACGCTTAATACCACAAACACACTGTCTGCCCATGACATGTTGGCTACAGATTCTAGTTTGTACTTCTTCCCTCGCCCCCCATGTAGCTCAGTCTGCCAGCTGCTGTCAATTGAACATTAATTTATCATATTTCCCCCAAAACCTTGTTTAGATTATTAACAAAACCTTTAAACTAAAACTGGCACATTCTTTGCCTGAAAAGGGGGCTAAATAAATATAATTTCCGTTGGACTTAGACCTCGAAAGTAAAGTGCTGTTACTTAATTTGAAAACTAAACAAAGACCCTGGACTTCAACACAGGTGTTTATAAATCTGGTTGATTGAGTTTGGCAGAGCTTTGCTGGGATTACGCTCATCAAAGGTCACCAGACTTAAAGATGTTTGAGCTTCACTGTGCAGAGCCATGTTCAGTGAAGCAGGGACTTGAAACCTGTCTGAGAACAGACCTTTCAGTAAAGTAGGAGGCAGCGTGTGTCCAGTCGTCAAACAAAAATGTACAACATTTTATGACGTAATTGAACATTTTTGAGGAAGAATTGTATCAGACTCAAATTACTATTCAAAGCAGAGTACTTTTTTTTTTAAATTGTAAAACATGCATGTAGGGCAGAAGCCCAAGTTGTTCCAGGGGCAGCAGGAAAGAGAGGACAACAAAGTGTGAACATGCTCACAGTCTTGAGAGGTCTAATCAGGCAAAATGAATAACAGCTGTGGGAGTGTACCTCTGTTGTGTGGATGTCCCTTCACATAGAATCTTACTGTGCATTCAATTACCCATACTACCATACTATTTAGTAGGCTGGAAAAATATTCAGTATGTGCAATACATAAATGTCAAATGTAGTGTGCCAGAAATGCCAGGATGTTCAACTGCATCCAGTTGCATTTTGTAGTTTGCAAGCAAACATGCTTTTCGGGTTATTCTGACCCACAATCCTATAGGCAGCATATGTATAT